ACAGTAACCAATTACTCCATTAGGTCATGTAGTAGAGGTTTGGGCTGTAGATCTAAAGATCCCAGCCCACTTATGACTGAGGTTGAACATAATGGAACTTCTGTGGAAATTATATATGAAAATAACTTGGTCAAGAGAACACTATTAAGGCTGCAAAGTCAAGCACTCAAAATTAGGAAATGGCAAAAGTAAGTCTGCTCATGTTCATCCCAGTCTTCCACCACCTCCACTTCCTAGTGCTTTATGCCCAAGCTTCACTTCCTAGACCCTCATCTCCACATGCTCTGTTGTACCTGTCTATTGTAATTCATATATGGGAATGGGGAAAGCAGTTTCACTCATCGTTAAGAGGAGGAGAAATGTGGAAAAAAGGTAGAATTAAAGCTGGATTTGGAACTGTTCCTGAGCATTGCCAGTAACTGCTGCTCAGGTTTTTTTTTTAAACTATAACCTCATGAATTGATTTTCACATATTTATTGTAAAAATTAATTCTCAATCCTCTGAGTTTTAAATGTATAATTTTTTTCTTGTTACTGTTGTTTTAAACTACTACACAGGAACTTATGACTATAAGATAATTTTTATAAAGAAAGTTTCCTAAGTTCAGTTTTGCTTTTATTAAACAAGTTTCTACCACTAAAACCTGGTCTTCTCCATCCACAGCACAAAAATTACAGAAGAAAGGCCCTGGGGAAGAGACCTTGCAGCATTTCCCCTAAATCACGCTATGAGAACCCAGAAGTTTGAACCTCAGTGGAACAAACAAGAGGTTTCACACCAGAAATTTCAGATTCCCTTATTGCCACATGGATCTTAAGCATATGAGCATGAAGCCAATATCTTGGGCATGAACTCAGAATTTCACTATCCATTGCCCTCTGGTTTGTAGGCAGCATAATTTATCCTGCTTTTTTCCAACTCAGCCCCCAATAAGGGAGGATCAACGGTGCCTGGGGGGCAGGGGGAGAGGAGGAAGACTGGACCACAAAGAGCTAAATGGAGCTGCGGGAGCTGAGCAGGCTGGGACCAGGTCGGCAGTGACAGGAAGCATGGCAGTGGGTGAGGTTAGTGGGGGGACCTAATCCCTGCTGTCAGTGCCAGGCATCCCACTAGTCTACTGGGTTTCGCTGCTTGGGGAGGAGGTTTGGGGGAAGAGGTGGAGTGGGGGTGGGAAGAGGCAGGGTCTTGGACAAAAGAGAGGAGTGTCCCAGGCATCGTACTCTCCTAGAGACGGCCCTCCTCCATGCCAGGGCTGAAACAGGAAAGAGTCATATGGGATGGTGGTTATGTGGACAGTGTACCCCCTGTGTCTCTCCCCAGCAGTTCATCAGGGATGGTGGATGTATAACAAAAACTGGAGCTGAAGTCAGCAGAAATGAGATACAAAATTTTAACAGGATAACTGGAACAGATTTCCAAAGCATATTGTACAATTCTCCATCACTTGTTGCTTCACTCCTTCGGGACGACCCCGCTGCCTGCCCCATAGGGAGAGGCCCCTGGGCCTGGTGGTATGCCCAGGGCGTCCTGAAAGCCCACTGGGGTTGCCCCTGCCACTGCTGCTGGTCCACCGGCTCCCGGTGAGATGATCTGACCGATGAGCGAGACCTATGACGGGGCCGTGACCTGTATGATGACCTGGCCGATGCCACCGATTCGGCCTCAGACTCCGAAGAGTATTCTGATGCTGACCAGGGAGGGGCCGAGGAAGCCTGCACCTTACGCTGCGCTGCCATGGCCGATGGCTTGCCCCTGTGCACCGCACAGGGTGGAGGCCTTTGCTGCGGTGGTACCGCGCCCAGCTGCATCTGATAGGCCGGTACATAACCCTCCGGTGCCGTCATGTGCAGCGGCGCTGCGCTCTGCTGCTGCGCTCCCAAGGAGTAAGCAGGGATCGGTGCCGGGAGAGGCATCAGCGTCGGTGCCGTGCGGGGCGCCTGCTGTGGCACCGCAGGTGGCGCATAGTACGGTGCGGGGCCCTGCACTGCCCAGAGGGCCGTCTGCGGCACCGGACCCTGCACCGGTGCCGGTGCCATCGGGAAGGGGCCCGGGGTCGGTGTCGGCGTTCATCCCGGCTCCGGTGTCGGTGTTCTTCCCGGCACCGGGAAAAACTGCTGCTGGGCCGAGGCCTCCCTTTGCCCAGAGGGTCCCACGACCCGGCCATAGCCTGCTGGGGGGCACTTGAGGCTGGTGCCGGTGCGGTCTGCTCCTGCGGCACCGGGCCCTCCCCTTCATCCACAGCCATGTGAATGAGGTCCCGGGCCGCCTCAAAAGTTTCTGGGGTGGAGGGCCGACGGACCTCTCCTAGCCCCACGGGCTGCCCCGGGCTCTTGCCCTTGTCCGGGCTGCGCCTCTTTTTGGAGGACTTAGAAGAAAGGTGCCCCTCCTTAGGGCGCACCTTCTGGGCCCTCCTCTCTGCCTAGCGGCCCCTCGAGCTCTTGGAGGCCCTCGGGACCGGTGACTGCGATCTGTGCCTCGGTGCCTTGTTGTCTGACGGGGGGGCCGCCGCCGGTGCGCTGCGGGCAGAGTGAGGCCGCTCCTCGCTCTGAGGCTGCAGGGCCGACTCCATTAGCAGGAGTTTCAGCCGGGAGTCCCTCTCCTTCTTGGTCCGGGGCTTAAAGCTCTTACAGATAGAGCAGCTTTCAGCCCGATGGGCCTCACCCAAACACTTTAGGCAGTCGGAGTGGGGATCTCCACAGGGCATAGGTTTGGAGCAGGAAGCACAGGGTTTAAAGCCCTGGGGCCCTGGCATGCCCTCCCCTCTCGGGAGGGTTCAATTGCTCCCTTATCTAACTAAATATTTACAACACTTAACAACTACTTAACTAGATAAAAACTTCAACTAGAACTATAATACAACAGATAAGAAATAAGCTGCTAAGAGATAGGCTATCAGCCTGAAGCATGCTCCAGCTACCATCACGGGTGGTAAGAAAGAACTGAGGGGTGGGAGGGCCAGCAGGGGTATATATGCACCGGTATACCGGCACCACTCCAGGGGGCTCCCTGCTGGCCCTACGGATACTGTTAAGGGAAAAAAGCTCCGGAATCCGTGCACGCGGCACGCGTACACCTAATCAGAATGGACATGAACAAGCACTCGAAGAAGAACTTATCCTTGTGATTGTTTTCACTTTAACTATATCTCAATGCTGTGATGTTATAAAAGACCTGATCTGGAGCTGCACCAGTAAAGTTGTATATATACTGCTCTCTTGTGGACAGGAAATTTGGTAATTTCCATGAGTGTCCAGTGACAGAGGTTGAATATCAGAAGGGAACATTTTTGGAGGTGGAGACAAAGTGCACCTGTTGTTAACCTGCAAGGCAAAGTAGGGTCTGGTAGGGCCCTCCGGAGATTGCTTGGGAGACTAACAGGCTGGTGGAGTCAACAAGCTGACATCTAATTAAGCATATGCAAATCTTCCTCTTGCCAGAGGCAAGGGGAGTAACAAGGTGACTTTCGGTCCTGAGCACCCCGAGAAAGTGCCACATATATCTACAACTTCTGGAATATAGAAGTCCCAAAAAGACTCTGGCCACACCAATCTTCTCCAAGCTCAGACTCCTTGTCCCAATCTACTCCTTTTCCTACCAGACTGGTTTGGCTTTTTTCTTCTTGTATTCAAATCAGACAGCTTCTTTCATCTGACTACCCTTACTGCCAGCAGGGGAGTGACTGAGAGCACAGGTTCCCTGCTCTTACTTCCAGTGCCTGGTCCCATGCGAGCCTAGAGTAGCTGGGAGCAACCATTACAGGGAAGTTTCTTCTCAGTCTCTGGGCCTCTCTGGGCAAGAGCATGCTCAAATGCACTGTGGGGGTGGCTAATATATGGTATGGTGAGCACTATGAGCAATACAGGGATAGAGCATGCTTAGTATGGCCAGATTCTTCAGAGATTTTAGTTGTTAAGCTCTAACATGTCTCTGCAGAGCATGTGTGAACTGTGATTTTTCAGAGACTTATTACTTAGTCAAACTCAGGTGCATTTTCACAGGTTTGGCAAAAACATATCCCTGACATAAAGGCAACCCTCTGTCAAATTTCAAACTCCTGCTCTAAAGCCTGGGGGCACAACAAGGGAAAAGTCTCCAATTTTTTATATGGTCAAAACAACACATTTTTCCCTAGCCTTGTTCTCAGGAATGACTTGTTGTCTGAAATGTTCTAGTTCTGCTTAAAGCAGACACCCAGCATGGGAAATTTCAGCCCAAATGGTTAAAGTTTACCAAAGTTATAAACATCGAAAACAGGATCTTAAAACAATAAATGTATGGTATCACTAATAGGCAGTACTATCAGACCTGCTTGTGACACAGTTACTTAACTACTAATGCTATAATTTTAGAAGCCATCTGACAAATTATCACTGCACTAGACTTTTACCTCTAGAGACCTATCTTCAAACCCTGTGTCAGGTCACTTGTGAACAAGGTTTCAATGAGCATATTTAACTTAGGACTATATCACATAACTAACAGAAAACTTGGCACTGTTCTTCATCACTGATCATCTTTGCTTAGAAGAGGCACAGAACTGAATAGCAGGCAATGACAGAGATGTGCAATGATGTATTGTGTAGAGAACCTTGCACAGAACCAGTCTAATGCTTTCAAGTGTCATCAGTTCCTTGCTTGATGAAGCATCAAGTTGCCCAACATTTAAAAAACAGTATTATTTTGTTTACATGTGGATGTGTTTTGAGTTTTAATATGTAAGCCATAAAACTAAAAATAATTATTCCAGACACACAATTCTATTTTTAATATATATCTAGATTGCCTTCAAGAAAGTAATATTGCATCATTATCCATAAGGACACATTTACTGCTCTTCATTTTTTCTTTTGAATTCACATCTTTTTGTAAATTTTAAAAGCCGTCTTTGGGATACCTGGGATTGGGGAAATATCAACTTTTTTCAACCCTCCCCCGCCCCCCCACAACAACTGTGAAAAGACTGAGAGTTAAACTGATCTAGATTTGACTGGGTACTCACTCGGTCACATAGCTCTTCAAATGTGAAGTCTGCAATGGTTCCACAAGCTTTATTCAGCTTCAGCTCTCTGCCTTGCACTTTTAGAATCCTTGGTCTAGTTACTATGGGAACATGAACAAAGACTCAATCTTGTCTGGATAATTACTATAAAATTCATCTCTTACAGATAGGAAATGCATAGCTTGATGAATAATAGCACATGATTCAACACATAAATTAGACAAAATGCTGATACAATGACTGCCACTTGAGTGTGGCATCAACCCATATACAGCAATGGAACTTATTAATTGGTCAGTGGAGATTGGGCATTGTGTTCTAAATGTATTCTCTTTCAAGAGAAATTAACTTACGTACAATCATTTTGTTTCTGAGCCAGCTCATCAAACAACTTATCCATGACAGCCTCCACATCAGCTTCACTTGTGCTACAGAGAAAAGAATAATAGAATATGAAATTAATAACACTTGAAGCCAACATCAAACAGCTGCCTGAGCCTGCTTAGCTTTTTGCCCATAAAAAAAAGAGAACAGGATGTTATGCTCTAAATACAAACATTAGATTTAGAATACACTTAAAAGCAGAGAATATTAACTCTCAGGTAGATGATTCTGCCTTATTTGCATACACTGAAAGACTTATGTGTTTTGAGCTGTTTCCAGTAATGAGGCAATACAGGCAAAGCAAATCTATTAACACTATGTGTACACAATGACAAAAAGGCTTCTGGCTCTATCCTGCATGCAAAATAAGAGCAAATAGACAAGGCACAGCAAAGCAGTTAAGCATCTGAAGACATACCCTTTGAAATCTGTGACAGCGAATATTCTGACATTAAATATTTAAATGTATTTTTAAAGAAAAATTCAAATCAAATTGACTGTGCTAATCAAAGTTAAATTATCAGCTCAGAAATGCCAATCTGATCAATCAGCAACATCAATAATTTGATCAGGTTTCTTCCATTATTTGGGAAAGATCAGTTATAAAATAGCAAAGCTTCTTACAAAATTTCATTGTGGAGCAGCCAAACAAACTTTCTGCTTATCTGGTGGCGACGAGGAGTATTAAGAAAACTGTTCCATCACAGAATATTTTTTATTCTAATTAGATTAAATCATAACAAATTTTTGATTCAGAGGCTACAATGTGCAGGAAGTATATGAATGCAGTTTTTTAGGTGGATATTTCATTCGTAAAATTCCACATAATTCCTGAGAAAACCTGTTTTGGAAGCTAAGAGCGAAACCAAGAAAGTTTATTTCAAGCTTGACTCTCATAACTTTGGTGATTATATACGGAGTCTGTTTTAAGAGGAGTGGAAAATAGTTTTAGCCACATTTATTTATAATAATAGACTATGTAGATTATGAAGGAAGAAGAGGATTGTGTTTTATAACATAATTGTAAGTGATAACTCTATATCTGTAATATGGAGGTGTCCTAATGACTGTCTTCATTAAAAAATTGCGTTGTGTCAAAGTACACCTAGAGGAGTCATGTTTGATGTTATACACAACTTTGCAGTCACTGTAGACAGAAACAAGCAGGGCCGGCCCACAACATTTTGGCACCTGAGGGGGGAACTCAAATGATGACCCCATGCCACCTTTTCTCCTGCCTGCCTCTTATGTCTCTTGTGCCGTCCTTCCTCCAGCACAGCACACCACTCTGTGCATCTAGAGCAGAGAGAATACATATGCACCAACAGCAGATACAATTTTCTACTCTCTGGGTCCTAGTGGTGCCCTCCTCACAGTCTGGCACCTGAGGCGGCGCCTCAGTTCGCCTCATGGTAAGGCCAGCCCTGGGAACAAGTGTGTTTAACATTGCATCAGTTGGTCATGGGTAAATCCTGCTTGAACCAACAGAAATGTAATTGTAGGAAATATTAATACTAAATTGTTTCTATGGTTGCTATAAAAGTAATAAACTGATCTATCATCTATAAGAGGTATGAAGCTTTTAATGGAATGCTAGTCCCTATTTAACTTTTAAAACTTTTTCAGGTCACATTTTTCTATATGAAGCCTTGAAAAAAAATTGCAGCTGTAAACGTTTTGTAAATTACAGAATGCTAAGCTTGATCTTTCCTTATAGTATCCCCCTTCTTACAAAAGAAGGTGCTTCAACTCCAAACTTCTATAGCCACTCCTCATCAATAATAAGAAGACATAATCACTACTCCCTCCCACCCCCGACAAAATACAAAAGGGCATCTTAATCTTAATTTAAAAAACAAGAAAAAAGGAAGCTTCTAGTATTCAGTAGAATGATACTACTATTGAGGGTGGAGTCTTATTTTGGTATTTCAGATGTGTGGTACTTACTTTGTAGGTAGAGCCTGGAAAATTACTACTACCATCACCTCAGCCCACTCTATGTGACCATCAAACACAGACACATTTCCATTTTTCAGGACACACTCATACCCTGTTTATCAAAATTAAGACTGTACTGATCTAGACATTGGGTGTGATCATGTTGGGCAAGAATCAGTCAAGGCAGGCAGAAGGAAGTGCATGGGAGAATTGACAGAAAAATATTTCTGAGATCTAACAAAAATGGCAATACTGCCTCTGCAAAGGCTGCAGGTCCAGGTACCTGTAAGAGAAATGTGTATTCCTATAGAGACAGTAGGAAAGGGTGGCAAAATATATTCATCCCTCCAAGGATTCTATTCATTTTCATTTGTTTCACCATACACTACCTTGTGGGCTCAAGAGGCAAACAGAATCATTCTAGCTACAGAAAGCTGGATGGGACTGCCTTTAGCCCCCAACATTATCATTAAGTTTTGCAACTGAGTATCATGAAGCACTAAATACAGGGCACTAAGTCTTGGGGCCAATGTGTATGCCTTGGTTTAAATTGGGAGCTGTAACTGCAGGTCAAATGCTTGCTCTTAATTTATGTGCCTTATAAGCAACCACATAAAATTTTCAGCCTCATAGGTGCAGAAGCAAACAAGACAGATCCAAAGTCAGTGCCCCTCTTGGACAAAAGGTCAGAGGATAGACATGGGAAGCAAGGACCAGATGGGGAGGGATTGGGAAGAGGCTGGGAAGACCTGGAAACTAGGGCTAGAACGAGACCATGCTGGGGTGGTTAAGATTGATTACAGTCTGTATTTCTAAGAAAATACAGAAAAGCCCTACACAAAAGGACTGGAACTAAGCTGGTGCCTGGAGCATGATTTCATCTTCTCCAAACAATAGATCTGGCCACTTGCTTCCACACTCCTTGCCCACAGAAGCTAAGTAAGCCAGATCCACATTTACAGCCTTTGAATAAAAAAAGCGGTTTTTGACCTCTTGGCTCCATTATGGAACATTATGGATTCATCAAATGTTTGTTCATTAAGCTTAAGGCCCTGAACCTGCCAAAATTTATACCTGCAGAGTGAAGTCAGTGAGACTATTCACAGAGATGAAGTTAATAAGTGACAAAATCCTTGTAGGATTGGGGCCTTAAGAAGTGCAATTTTGATGCAAGAATTCTAACAATAAATAAAAGCAGTCCAACTCAATGTATTCAGAAAAAAGGAAAAAACTTTCCAGTATATAAATCCTCTTCCACCACATTTTTTTAAATAAAGTACATACTCAATAGTAATTTCACTGTTGTAATTTTCCCACCTAGTTCTTTCTACATCTACAGAAACAACTGTAACTCTTTAATTTTATTATGCAGTACAGGAATGTTTAATTTCAAGAGGTCTGTCTCCCAGGTTGAAGTCCCTGAATGTGTTCATATACCTTTGTTACCAGAAACATATTTTTCTGCTACATTGTAATTACTCTATGGGCAAGAAGATACTACAGCTATAAATGTAATTTAAAATAAATTTGTGTTGGCTGGCACTGACCTAATGATAGGTTTTACCTTAAAAACAACCTGGCAAAAACAGAGTCTGTGATGCATAGGTGTTGCAATATTTTAATTCAAAGAGAAGATGCTTCTATCAGGCAGATGCATCCACTTGTACTTATGGCTGTATTGTTTATCATTTAAATATTTTTATTTTGTTCAAATACAGCGTAAACACTAACGTAAATTCATCATGGTAAATCTAAACAGATCATCTGTCAAAATAAGATTTTTTTTATACCCGCAATGGGAACACCCAACATTAAATGAATCCTTGTCAGATTTCAATAAATACTTAATTACTTTAATACAATACGGATGTTCTCCTATTATAAGTGAATTGTACACTCTCCTAGAAGAGGATATTCATTACTTTCTAACCATCTGTCACTTCAATTCTCCAAACACCACACCTCCCCAAAAATCTAATTAGTTTTGATTCTGTTGCACACTGTAAATGAAGCTAGTGCAGATATTGAAAATATAGTTTAATGAAGATAACATCATGGCATAATGGAAAGCAGTCTGTCTTATAAAATGGATCAGAAGGCAAAGAGAAGAAGTCACATACTGCTAATTGTTTTATTCATTTTCTTCTCCTAGAGGAAGTTGTTGGCTATTAAGAACAAAACAAAAAAAAAAAAAAAAAAAAAAAAAGAGGGGGGGACGGGACAAAAATTCCACAATAAATCAACTTACAGGTAGTAAAGTTTCCCAGCTGCAGGAAGAACCCGTTTCCTATAGTCTATTCCAGAATCAAGTTGGACTGTGCTGCAGTATTTCTACAAGAAACGAAACATGTAATGATTACTTTACTCAAATTAGAGAATGCAGGTCTATGAAAAAAAAAACCTAAGATACTAAAATCATACTAACAGAACATAGTATGGAAACAAAGAAGTCCTCTACAACTACTAATCTGTAGCAATCTTTTTTGTGCAACCAAGATTACAGAATTTTTTTAACTTGACAAACAGTTAACTTGACAATACAGTTTTTAAACCCACCAACTAATCTAAGTTTTGTTGGGACAAGGACTGAAGCACAGAACACAAAGAATTAAATTTTGTCCACAGACCAGTATTTCTCAAAATGGTCTGCAAAACCATTTTTAGAAACCTGATGACTGGCCGCTTCAGTGTATTTATTTACCGGCTCCATGGCTACAGAGCCTTGCAGCTCCCATTGGCTCCAGTTTGCCATTTGCAGCCAAGAGGAGCCGTGGGAAGTGGCGTTGGCTGGGCTGCTGCTTCCTGCAGCTCTCCTTGGCTGCAAACGGTGAACTGGAGCCAATGGAAGCTGTGGGGCTCCATGGCCTCAGAGCTGGTAAGTAAACACACTGGATCAGCCAGTTAGCAGGTTTCTTAAAGTGGTTTCATGGACCACTTTGTGAAACACTGCCATAGACCAATTATTTTCTCATGCCCAACTGATGCAATTCATAATAAAGAACATATTTTAAAACCATAATGTATTAATGGTCACTAACTCATCCACTATCATAATTATTTGAGCAGAAAGCATAAAACCAATAGTACCAGCTTGCATACTCTGTGGGTGAAATCCTGGCCCCATAGAATTCAATAGCAATCCTCATCCATTAACTTCAGTGGGGCAGTATTTCACCCTTTGGCAGGGACCATGTGTTTGGGGATGGGATTTCTTTTTCAGTTTTTGTTTTTTGTCAAGTACCAAGAACACATTTGGGCACTGTACAACCAGCAACCACAGGAGTCTCATGAAAAGAAAGATCTTTACGAGGAAGATCTGAATAGATAAACCTGACTCAACAAGACAATGAACAATGAAGCAGATTTTTTTCAGACAGCTCAATGCTATTACCCAGAATTCCACAAATCAATAGAGTATCAACTACATAAAACTGTTGTGTACCTCAGCTTCCCCCTGTATTAATAGATTAATCTTTTACACTCTTATGTTAACACTCTTGTTTCACACTATGTTTATGAGAATCTTTTCATGAAGTATATCTATGACTGTTCAACTAGGTCTGGCCATTGATCAAAATAATTTTAAGCAGATAACTAATACAAGTGTCAAATCTAGTCTATAATGACTAGATTGCAGAAGGAATATGTAAAGGAAACCTTAGAACTACCCTCACTATTAATCTAGGAACAATCCTTTTTTGATTAGTGTGCTGCTTTCCTAGGAGTTACTGATTAAAAAACGTTCACAGGACAGGACTATGAAGATAGGGAGTCTTGCCATCACTTTGTAATTTCCTTGGCCATATTTTGATTTAGGCTTCTTCCTCCTTTTATAAAGCGTAAGAATAAGGAAAAAAGTGAAAAGGCCACCTTAAAAGCACAGGAAAGAGAAATATTAAAAATGCCTGAGAAGGAAAACAAAAACCAACTACACCCTCCAAAAACCAAAACAGCAACAACAAAACTGTACCACAATCACCAAATAGCAAATCATGCAGCTGAACCATCACTGCTAGTTTGTTCACACTGCACTATAGGTTCTAACAATGGTGTTACTTCACTAGTTCAACTACCAATGGTTCAATTGGCTAGAGAAGATGCTCTGAATAGTTTCACTTTGCTGATGAGGAATGAGGACTGATTATTTAGACTACTGTTATGAGCAGAGTGAATCCTTGTAACAGGTTGCATTAAAAGCTCCTTCGAACTGATGTGTGATTAAGTTCCCTGAGACAGGATTGCTGCACACATCTAAAGCAAAATCTGACTGAGTCTGCCCAGAAACTTACACTAGGTTCGTCTGGGTATTGTGACCAGGTGTGTGGGGATGGAGGTGGCAGAGATGGGAAGAGAACACCCAGAAAAAAAGCATGACGTAGCAGCAGAAAGCACAATGGCTGTCTTTAGAAGAGGTTTTTATGTCAGGGTAGAGGCTGAAAAAACTGCTCTTGGTTTTATGAGTAAAAAAAGTTGCTCCCTGCAATATAAAAATACCTATCACCAATTTCTATTCCCAACAGTAGTACGCACTGGGCCCCAAAAATTGAATATTAAATGTGTCAAAAAGGGGCAACTCTGCTGAAGTTGGCAGAAGTATGTTAGCATTTGTTGCTAATATAATTCATGACTTGTTTGGCTAATGGGGTATTTACCTATCTGAAGAAGGTATGAGTTACTTTTAATCATCCCTATGATTTCATCTGTATAGAGAAGGAGTTTATGGAGTTGAGAATCATGAATTATCAATAACAGCTACAAAGTACCTTTGTTGTGCTTTATTTGCAAACCTTTTGTTTGTTCACTTTTTTCCTGTATATATGGCTTGCCTCCATTGTTCATAGTTTAGAAATCTTTTTTAGAAATGAAAAAACTGGAACAGCGAATTGGTGTATTGATATTAAATATAAAATGACAGATATAGGACCACATAAAATCTATTCTGAAAATATCTGTATTAGAAACACAAACAAGCAGACTAACTGAAATATCAAACCATGGTGACTTTAACCAGGAGGGCAACAAAACATGTACACTTCAGGGACATGAATTATACATCTTGCGGGTTTCCATTTTCTGTGCTGTGCTCATGTGCAGGGGTGGAGAACCACAGAATTAATTTAGGGGACTGGAGAACAGGAGCAATCGAATAGGGAGTTCTTTGTCACTATGCTATACTGAGCAAGTGGTACAAGCACAGGTCTAAAGTCTGGAACAGAGATACTGGTTTCCTCTTTAGAAGCCTTTTGGCATTTATTAAATATTTCTCTTTGGAGTGGTTGGTGCTCACATCTGTCATGGCAGATATAATTCTTCGTCAGGCCCATTTTGCTAGGCACTGTATACAAAGAAGAAAAGAGTAACCCCTGCACCAAAGAGTTCACAGTCTAGCTGGCAAACATGGTCATAAGAAATCTTTCTATGATTTCTGCTAATTAGATTGCAAGCTCTTTAGGGCTTAAACATGTGTATTCATTTGCATGTGTGACCTTGCACAATGAGGCCCTGATATAGGACTAGGGCATCTAGCTGTTACTACTACCAAACAAATTAACAATATAAATAAAAGAATGGGTCGCTGGACAGTAACATGGAAGAAGCTGATATTGGCAAAAACAGCACACAAATGACTTCTAGTATCTGCAGTATATTGCACATACTTGCCCCCATGCAGTAGAGTGCAAAATATAGATGAGACAGAACACTTAAAACAGTGACTGATGCACTGTGTGTTGGTAGCAGGAATCCTATTTGCACCATGGGGATATAATACCAGTGCTTCCCATCCACACTTGCACTGGTGGAGCTGGTATAGTGTGGAATCACAAGGTGGTTAGTTTACCTCAAAGCAAGACAAATTTAAATGGTGGTAGAATTCCATGCCCTGTGGGGAGACAAAGTGACTGAAGGAGAGACACTGATGCACTGTGTGTTGGTAGCAGGAATCCTATTTGCACCATGGGGATATAATACCAGTGCTTCCCATCCACACTTGCACTGGTGGAGCTGGTATAGTGTGGAATCACAAGGTGGTTAGTTTACCTCAAAGCAAGACAAATTTAAATGGTGGTAGAATTCCATGCCCTGTGGGGAGACAAAGTGACTGAAGGAGAGACCTAG